ATTCGGACTCTGTACTAGAAAAATCAACCATTGAGAAGTGGTTTGCGAAGTTTAAATGAGGAGAAATGAGCACCGACGACGATGCACACAGTGGACGCTCCAAAGAGGCTGTTACCGACGAAAACATCAAAAAAGTCCGCAAAATAATTTTAGATTACCGTAAAATGAAGCTGATCAAAATATCTGAGACTCTAAAGATATCAAGAGAACGTGTTGGACATATCGTGAATGAATATTTGGGTCTGCGAGAGCTCTAGGCGAAGTGGGTGCCGCACGAGCTCACAACTGACCAAAAACAGCAACGAATTGTTGATTCTAGGCTGTGTTTGAAGCTGTTTAATCGTAATAAACCCGAATTTATGCGTCGATATGTGACAATGGGTGAAATACGGCTCCATAATTTCACACCGGTGTCCAATCGACCGTCAGCCGAATGAACTGCACGAGAAGAACCAACTCCAAAGCGTGGAAAGACGCAACAGTCAGCTGGCAAAGTTATGACATAAGTATTTTGGGATGCTCATGGTATAATATTCATTGACTATCTTGAAAGGGGAAAAACCTTCAACAGCGACTATTACATAGCGTTATTGGAGCGTTTGAGCTACGAAATCGCAGAGAAACGGCCCCATTTGAAGAAGAAAGTGCTGTTTCATCAAGACAACGCATCGTGTCACAAGTCAATGAAAACGATGGCAAAATTCTATGAATTGGTATTCGAATTACTTCCGCATCCCACGTATTCTCCAGATCTGGTCCCCAGCGACTTTTTCCTGTTCTCAGACCTCAAGAGAATGCTCGCTGGAAAGAAATTTAGAGCCGATGAAGAAGTAATCACCGAAACTAAGGCCTATTTTGAGACTAAGAACAAATAGTACTATAAAAATGGTATCGAAAAATTATATGACCGCTATAATCGTTGTATCGCCCTTGAAGGAAACTATATTGAATAATAAAATGAAATTTTATCAAAATTTTTTTCTCTATGTTAACCTACGAACTTTTCAGCCCAACTGTTACTACACGAGGAGTCTTCAGCCAGTGGAGATCGAACCCACGACTTCTGGTACATGGGCGCATTGCTCTTCTAACCAGGTTATCCTGGCCCTACATGTAATATATTGTTGTCGATAGAACTACTTTGGCAAAATAAATTCAAACAACGAAAACTCTTTTTATTTTTTAACCGTCTTTCAAGAAGACGCCAGGCAGGAATGAGTCAATACGTTTCGCAAAATTAGAAATAAATGAATTTAAAAAAAAGCTAAGATTCTGTTAGCTGATCTTATGAAAACCATTTTAACATTTTTTTCGGAATTTAATACTAAGGGTTACATCTGTAATCATAAATATCTATATTCATTAATACATTATGGTGCGTAAGACTGTTTTATTTATTTTATATAAATGCTGATAATGAAACAATTGTGTTTTTATCATTTATATTTGTTAGGGGAAAAAGAAACTTTCCTAAGGCTACAATGCTGGATGTTAACTTTTATGAACTAAAACTAATTAGACTTTCTATTAAGACATTTCTGGATAAGCTGCAATTGCACAATCTCGTTTGGAAATTAATATATAAATTAATGTTTATCTGGATTTTATTGAATTTTAATGGAGATTCTGGTCCTGTTCCCGTAATAGTTAGTTTTTAATATTTCCTTATATTTTATTATGCATTAATTTTTTTCTCTTAAGGCTTAATTTTTATTCATATGAACAGTTAGATTGCGGATTTTTTTCAGCACATGACCCGTCCCGTGGGTTAACAAAGAGTCCTGCAGATTGACTACATGAAGGGTCTACTGAGAGTTAATAAGCTATACCTGATCAATTGTTTTGTCTTAATAAACACTTGGAAAATTTAAAAAAAAATTTAATAACAAAACGATTAAACTTTCCTTGCATTTTCATTTCAGTTTTTGATTGCTTTTTCTTATTTAGTTTATCTATTATGGGGCCTCGGTGCACAGACAGTTTTTGATTTAACCGCTGACTACAGAAGGGCTCCAGTGCTCTGGCAGAGTGTGTCTCCTGATGAAGCTCTGTTTTTTCTGACATACATATCTTTAGAAATTCTTCTCGAAATTTAATCTTCTAGAAAATTATATAAGAACAATTCGAATTTAGAAATTCTTGATTTTTGCTTCTAACTTTTTAAATTGTTTAATGAAGAAAAATTTGGTTTTTGCTGCTTTTAGCACTTTTTCACTTAGACTTATTATTATTTTATATGTTATTTTCTTAATTTGTCTTTTTCTGAGTTTGTTTAAGTCTTTAATTCTTTGACTGGATGTTAACTCGAGGCACCTTTTGATGACGTTGTCGGCTGTTGACGAACGTGACAACTTCATACTGATGACGTTTCGTTTTAAATTTTCACCATTTTGATGTGTTGTGTGTGAAGCTAAGGTTTAAAACGTATAAAAAATGTTTGAAATATTCACCAATCAGCGATGAATGATGTGAGTTTTTAACTATGTTCATCACGTTATAGCAACATGTAACAGGGTGCGTAGCCAGATTTTTCAACCAAAAATAAGCACTTTTTTATTATTTTTTTTATCACTGAAATGATATTTTTAATAACTTTCTTAAAAAAAATCATAATTAGGATCTGTGCAGTAATGAAAATTAGCTTTTGTATCGTTTAAAATTCTTAATCTATGAACATAAAATCAATAAAATTCCAAAAACCTTTTCAAAAACTTTACATAATCATGATAAAATAACTAGCTTCTGATAAATAAGAAAAATGTGAAAACCATGCATTTTTTGTAATTTAGAACGTCAATAAACACGGCAAAGAAAAAAATCTCTTTTAGAAATAATGAGAATTAAGCATTCTTTACAAACCCCGAAGCACTTTTAAGGGCTTTTAAAAGACGCAAATCAAAAATAAGCACCATTAAGGACTTTTTATAAACGCTACGTACCCTGGGTAAGTAACACGCATTAATAAACAGGAATCACGAAGAAAAATTGTTGAATATTTTTATTTCATTTATTAACATTATCCAGTGTACATCTGCGTGCCAATTGTGGCACGTATTTTTTAACCATGCATTAACCCATTAAAAAATTTCTATTTTCATAAGTCCCTCAATTCTAAGAGCTAAACAGTTTTACAAGTACAGCAGATTTCTGACCTGGAAATTAAGCTTTGAATTCAAAAATTAGTCCATTGTAGGAGATCATTAGCTTACGTTTTCCCACCAAAATGTTTTGCTACCTATCCCACCTATAAAAGTTTTATTGAAAAAACAATCTTAAGCAAATTTTTAAACTTGAAAACGACAAATTGCAGCCAATGACAGCGATCTGTTATGTCAGGAAAAAATTTCATTTGCTAAATCACAAAAATGGACATCCGCGTTACCCTCAAAACTAAGGTCAGTCCTCTAAGCCACACCCATATCGCAAATTTAGCTGTATTTTGTTTTGAAGGCATGTTTAAAAACAATTAAATTAAAATTATTTAATCAAAACCATCTACAGTATAACACACAACGTTCGCTTCCTACTTCAGCAGGCCGTGGTAAAATTATCAAACGTTGTGATAAAACGTTGTGACCCTGGTGATAAAAAAGGTGGGATGCATTGTTATATACTAGTTAATAGGTATTGAATAATTGTAGTGGTAGCTACGCTGCAATACTTCCCTACCAAAATTTTATTTGTCATAGAATTCGATGAATGGATGTCACAATATAATTCATTGCTATTTTTATGAGAGGCAGAGAGCGCTGTATTACGATCACTAGATTTTAAGCGCTGATTGCAAGAGCTGTATTATGATCACGGTTGTGTGCGTGACTGCTCTTCTGTTGCATTTGGCTGTCTGTACAGCGCCCCGTTGTGTGATCGAGACTGAGCAGCAACAGCGCGAGGAGGATAATATCGCAATCACAAATCGAAAGTCAAGTGTTCACTGTCTTCCATCCATCAAACTAGAGGTATTAAAAATCGAAGTGAGCGTTTCTGTAAGAGGTAGACGTGCTGTTCGAAGTGGAATTTTCAAATAGAAGTGGGCGCTGCTGTCAAGATAAGGGTAATCAGTTCATGTCTGGAGGTCGCCAATGCCAGGACTACTTTAACGACAATGTCAACCAATAACTATCAAAACGAGGTTCAAGATAGAATCGAGTTAACTTGTTTTTATACTAATGAATTGGAATTGATTAATTGTAGTTATGCTACAAAGTTTTTCAACATTAATATTTATACACGGAAAGTAATTGGTAAATTGTTTTTAAAAAATTCGTGTTTAAAAAATATGTGTCTGTCAAGCGAATTTTTTCGCTCATTGTAAATGATTTCGGTACTTGTTATATTTTATTTACCAGAGTTCAACTAAAAATTCAGTAATAAGATAAAAATTTCTACCTTTCAAATTTAAAAAAAAATTAATTTTTTGTATCTTACTTCATATTATTTTCTTTACTTTTTGGCAATTTTTTTATTGCGGATTTTATTTTAAATGATTTTAAAACGAAGAGGTGCATTCAAAGGCAAATTTAAGTGGAAAAATTTTGAGAAAGATTAATTAAAATCTGTTTTGACTATTAATTTATAGTTGGTAGGCTAACGAAAATTTTGGTGGTTTTAAAATTTTCTACATTTTGCTTATATTTTAAGATAAGATTTGTTTGTAAGTTAAAAACTTGCTATATATGACACTATCATTACTTTTTTGAGAGGATGGCCAGATAAAAGTTTAGGGGCGAACAATTTCTTTTATAAACATAGATTTCATCGTGAAATTCGAAATTCCGATTAAAAGATTACTTAGATTTATTAAAAATTATCAAAAAGCAGTTTTGATTCCCACTTTAAATGTTAGGGTGTCTATCGTGGTAGCTTTCTGTGTTAGACATTTGGAGGCAAAATTTAAATGTTCAATTTTCGGTTTCAGTTTTTAATTTTGGTACATTTTATTTTTGGTCAAAACGAGTGGAAAAATCTTAATTTATAGAACGAGAAAATAAAATTCTTACCAGAACTTTGTTGCAAGACAGCTCAATCAACGTCATAACTCTGTCCTATCTTGAAAATGAA